AGCTGTTATTATTGCCTGTTAATAGATCAACTGAGGTTCTATGAATATTTGAGAAGCATACATCACTTTGTCTTTTTCAACAGGTATTTTTTGTAGAATCCAAAAAAATTCCTAAATAAATTCTTTGTTCTGATAATTATTGCTGTGTGATATACTCCAAAACCTAGTGTTGTAAAGCCACATTCACTTTATTTTGCTCACTATTTTTGTGGCATAGAGATTCAGGAAGGGCTTAGCTGGGTAGTTCTCCCTTGGGGAGTGTCTCATGCTGACGAGGTCAGAGGTCAGCTGGGGGTGCAGTTTTCTGAAGTTTGGAAAGATCCTTAGACTCATTAGACTTTTAGTCCCACCCCTGAGGTAAGACTTCAGGCAAGTCACTTTATTTCTCTGGGGCTCATTTTCGGCACATCATGAAATAAAACCAATAAATCCTTTTGAGCATTCTTTCAGCTCAAAAGTTCTGTGATTCTATGAAATGCAAAAATAATATTTGGATATTAACAGATACAAGTCACTGTGCATAATTCACATTATTCTACAAACAGAAAATATTACTAAATGAAGGGAAAACATAGGATTGAGGTAATGAAGTAAAATTTTTTGTTGTGAAAATAGAAACATCTTGAATCAATTTTGCCACTAGAGGTCACTAGTGTATCATCTCAAAGCGAATACATGCAATCAAGTCACCCGCAGTTCCCTAGCTACTTGGCCCCAAAATGGCATTCGTGGTGTCTTTAGGTTTATTCTGAATATCTGCTGACAGTTGTCAGAGGCATATGTTGGGATGAGGTCACATTGGTTGTCACTATAGGTGATGTTTCATATGTGCCTAATGTTCTGAAAGTGTGAAGAGCCCTGACTAGAACCACAAGGAAAATTACTTCTTTGGCTATTCTGGCCTCTCACTGGGATATGATAATGAGCAGTGAGGTGCTTTGACAGAAAGTCAAATGAGCTCTGAGGTGGAAAGACATTGTGGAAATACAGTATCATCCTCTAATGCAGCACAGACACGTCTGCTTTTTATTTTTATTTATTTTTTAAAGATTTTATTTATATATTTGACAGAGAGAGAGAAATAGCAAGAGCAGGAGCACAAGCAGGGGGAGTGGGAGAGGGGGAAGTAGACTTCCCTCAGAGCAGGGAGCCCGATGTGGGCCTAGATCCCAGGACCCTCGGGGCTCGATCCCAGGACCCCGGGATCATGACCTGAGCCGAAGGCAGACGCTTAACGACTGAGCCACCCAGGCACCCCACGTCTGCTTTTTATAAGACAGAAAAAGTGGTAGAACATTTATTCATTCATTCATTCAACCTGTATTTATGGACACACATGTAGGCACCAGGATTGGCAATGGGGCTACATTAATGAAGAGGATCAACTGGTGCCCTCAAGGAATTTAAGGAATCAGGTATAGGAGGTTTTAGATACAGTTAGTTCTTACAGACCACCATGCCAGGTAAATTTCCCTCAGCTATTTTTATTTTGTCTTCCCAACAGACCTTTAGGATAAGCCCTATAATTCCCATTCCTATAGATGGCCCCTCGCAGCACAAGAGCCAGTGGCTTTTATGAGGTGATGTTAAGATCAGACGATACACTTTCACATCAAATCCAAAACTGAACGACAGAGATACTTGCAAGAAATGTTAAAATTCTGAGTTGGGCTGTGGCCAGGGATGCTTGTTAGACAAAAATATTAAAATCTATTTCAACAGAAAAGCCTTTGGAAGGGAGGAACAATGCTCTAAGTGAAATTAATGCCCTGACACATAAAGATCCAGAGAGATCACCTCTGAAGAAACTTCTGTAAGAAGGATGAACTCTAGAGTACATCTGATGGCCATATCAATTTTCTCCCAAAATGAAACCTACATTGTATTTTCTTACAATTTGCTTCCTGTCATACATAAAGAAACTCAAAACCCATAATTCTCTCATTAAGGATGAGTAACAAGGCATTCTGGGCTCTTTCCATAACTTGAGGACCTATTTCTTCTACAGTTTTAAGAGGACTTGAACTGATTTAAATTAGTTGTCATCAGACTGTAGACCAGACATAGAGGATGTTTCTGAGCAGGGACACAAGCAAAACCATCATCCCTGAGTAGCAAGGCTTTCTCTTGTTTTCTGCCTTCACTAGAAAAGAAGAAAGGGAGCCTGGACAAATCTCTGCTTCAAACTGAGGATGCTTTGATCTGCTTTTGTTGTGATGAGTATCACTATCCTGAAAATTATTCATTTTAACCATTATTTTAAAACAAACTACCAACAGGTTTGTCCTTCCTTCTGATTGTTGCAAAGTATGGTGAAACAGTGAAAAAGAAAGGGTAGGACTCCAAATTAGCTACAAAATATGACTTGATTTATTTTAAAAACATGCTTGTTACTGTGCCATTGACTTTCCCACTGATGCTTCTTCCATGCTGGCTAGCGTGCTTCTCTTCCACTTCGACTTTGAGGCCTCCCACCATCACTTTACGAGACAGATATCTTGTAGTATTTCCCTAAAATAATTGTGTGAGGAAGGAGGAAGGAAGATGGGAATTTGTCATAGAACTAAAGATTATTCAAGTTAGAGGTGTGCGGGGAGAGGCAGTCCGAATTGAGCCCTGAGCGTCAGGACATGTTCTTGCTGGTAGGCCAAGAGCACACAAGGTCTTTACCCAGACCAGTTCTTGGGGTGTGTCTGCAGAGAGCTACTTTAAGGGTTGAGGTAATGTCTCTCCCTGGTTAAAGAGCAAGCTTGCTTCCACTAACTGTAAAAGCAATAGATTCCCTGAGCTCAATGTTCCTCCCTGTACCGTAACCCACTGTGTATGCAGGCACCCATCTGGGCCCCCGGCCTCTCTACTGTGGGACTTGGGAGACATGGAGAACAGAAGCAAACCAGCACGAAGCTCATGCTGCTGGCGAGCTCTGCGTAATAAAGTCCTTGGACTTGGACCAGGCACCTCATGTCTCCTTCCAGCATTCATGAGTACGTAACAGGCTAACTTGTTAGCTTGTAAGTAATGTAAAATCTCAGGGGCGCCTGAGTGGCTCAGTTGGCTAAGCATCTGCCTTCGGCTCAGGTCATGATCCCAGAATCCTGGAACTGAGCCCCGCATTTGGCTCCCTTGTCAGTGCGGAGCCTACTTCTCCCTCTCCCTCTGCCTGCCGCTCCCCTGCTTGTGCGCTCTCTCTCTCTCTCTCTCTGTCAAATAAATAAATAAATAAAATCTTTAAAAAAAAAACAAAAAAAGGTAATGTAAAGTCCCAGAGTCTGAGAGAGGAGCTCTCCCAAGTTGGTTATTTTTAATGAAACAGTTACTAGAGGAACAGAAGACTATGAAAACTATGCCTGTATACTGGAAGTAAGAAAATCCACTAGCACTTGCATTTTAGGGAATTGCTAGCGACGCATGTGCATTCTCATACAAAACATTAGTTTCACTATTACCCTGACTCCTATGCCCTTCAAAGAATCACTTTGTCATATTAAAACAGAATCCCCTTTATGCTCCCAGAGCCCAATGATTAGTGTTGATTTTAAAGCAGATTGTTTTATAAAGATTTCGTGGAACAGGCACCCAGCCCAAATGATTGATAATGGTAGATTTCTGTATAGAGAATCATAGAAACCCAAAATAATAAAAACTGGAATGGAGTGGCCCCAAAATAAATCACTCGAGAAAGCTTTCAGAACATGGCAGGCATGTTACCAAGGGCTCGATGGCCAGACACAACCAAACCATCACAGGTTGACTCTTAAATATGGGAAGCATCCGTTATCACTCACTGGTAGTGTTATTTGATAAATTCAGTGGTATTTTATGTAATATTAGAGAAGCAGAATGAACTTTATTACAATCCCTCATTTGAGGAAACAGGAGTCTATAGTAAAGTGACTCATCCCCCACAGACTTACGGTTAATTTCAAATTTGGATATTCTACAGTATCTAGCTCATAATGAACATTGAAATAAATTTTTCAATGGTAAATATATGAAGAACTGAATGGATGAATATAGGTTGAGCCAGAACTGGAACGTAGGTTTCCTCTTCTTTAACCAATGCTTGTTGCAAGGCTGATAGATCAGGCTTTCTAAGCCAGTCATTTGCACACCAACATCACACTTTTTGCCACATTAAATTAACCATTTAATTAATATATATTTTTTAAAATTATTTTTAAGTAGGGTCCACACCCAGCATGGAGCCCAATATGGGGCTCGAACTCACAACCCTGAGATCAAGGCCTGAGCTGAGATCAAGAGTCAGATGCTTAAAGACTGAGCCACCCAGTTGCCCCATAAATAACATTATTTTTTAAATTGGCTTTGTTCTAGGCAATGACATCAGCAAGTTGAGGGTTGGTTGTATTATTCATATTTTTTGATTACAATAAAATATGCAATGATTTTTAAAAGCTAATCTTGTACAGCCAGAGATATGAGCACCAATCTTTGAGAAACTGATTAAACATTACTTTGTGTAGAGAAAAATAAGCATCAAGACTGTATAATCATTCCCAATTACTTTCATTTTTGCCATAAAGTTCAAAGCTTGATTCCATGAAGACCCTGAAGTCCTTCTGAATTCTCATTTGAGAAACTCTAAAAATACACTGGTAATTTCTTACTTTTTCTCTATTAAACCAATGAATGAAAATAACTCTTATCAAATTAGCCAACTACTGGTTATCATCAAGAAATTATAATCTTGAGAAAAGTATACATGAACAGCTTAATTTACCAAATAGCAGTATGGTATACTATTTTTTTTTAAGATTTTATTTACCAATTTGAGAAAGAGAGAGAGAGAAAGAGAAAAGCAGATTCCGTGCTGAACACAGAGCCCAAATAGGGGCTCGATCCCACAACCATGAGATCATGACCTGAGCCAAAATCAAGAGTCGGACGATTAACTGACTGAGCCACCCAGGAACCCCAGTATGGTATCCTATTAAGTTTTGAAATCAATTTTCAACAGGTACAGTATATTCTTTACTCACCAAATTTAGGACAGCACTCATTCTCCAATGAATTCAATAACCTTTCAAGGGAAAAAAATAAGTAAAAAGGAAAATGTGAGTTCTTATTTAGGAATGAGATGAAACATATTTTGCAAATTAATGAGCTTAAAGTATCAGGGAACACACCTGGTTACACTTGAAAGTTATCAAAATGCCTCCGTTTAGCATATCTCACTTTAAAATATCCACAGTATGTTTAGAACTCTCTAATTACTTAAGACAAGTTAGAAGTTTCACGTTCATGATGAGACTATGTCAGTTTGGAACATCAAAATGATCTTGGAAGTTCTCTACTATTTATCATTTCTTCCTCACATGATACATTGCTTTGTAACAATAGTTTTCAATTTGGAGTTCTCCATTCTCTATGAAGAGAATTTTAATTTTATGCTTTTACTTAGATGTTTTATAATATTAACATATGCATATCCCAGATAACAAGTGTTCTTCTTATAATTAAATATTTCTGTGTAATTTCAGTGGTTTCTTTTTGTATGTGTGTTTGCCTTGCTCAGAAGAAGGGAAGTTTTATGGTTATTTTAAAACCATTTTTAATTGAAAAATATAATGCAAATATGGAATACTGTATAAAAATAAATGTATAGCTTAATGAATGTTCATTTCATGACTAGTTTGCTAAAATTTCAACTCCCTTTTTATATCCACTTGGGTGTACTGTTCTTTTTTGTCACATTTTTGTTATTTCAAGGATTTTTCTATATTCAAGGGCAGATCTTAATTATTAGCAACACTGTTTTATCAAATTTGCAACATTCTGTGATTGATATATTGCTCTCTAACTTTATGGTTATCTTTGGTATGTTACATTTTTTGAGATAGTTCATCTAAAAACTTCCTTTAAAGTCTAAATTATCTTACAAGATATATGCTTCGTCCCAGAATTTTTAAAAAGGTGAATACTCTAATCATATTCTACTTGATGGCAATCATTTTCATGCATCTTTTAAATGGCTTTAGCATCCAAAATAAACCTAGATTTTTTGGTCTGTTTTTAAAAAGATGTATTTTAAGTGTCCTTTTATCTATAGGTTTCTTTCCATTCTTTTTCCCCCCAGTGCAATTTATTTTCTTTTTGTTGAAGAAAAGGGCTTCTTTTTTTTGTTTTTGTCTTGTTTATTTTTCCATAGCCAGATTTTGCTAATTTTGTCCACGTGGTAGATTTAATATATTTCTCTCTGCCCTCTGTATTTCCTGTTAAATTGCTACATATTTATGGGCTTGATCAGGTCAGGTTGAAATTTCTTTTCCTTTTTTTTTTTTTTTTTTTGCAAGACTCTTTCACAGGTGGTGGTACATTCTTCTTCCATCTGGAAATAAATGCTGTCTAATGGGTTCTCTTTGTGATGTTAGTGATGTTTGTGCTCTAGATTAGTGTTTCTCAACAGTCTTTTTCATTATACCCCATCCCCAGAGCCTTTGAGACATTTTTTTCCTCATCACACCCATTTCTTATGAAATTGTCTTTTGTGAAGCTTGGAAAACCATTATTTCTTCAAGTATTTTTCAGAACCATACTCTTTCCTTTCCGTCTGGGACTCTGATGACACAAAATGGTATCTCTTTTATTGTCTTTCATTCCTGAGGTTGGTTGGTTTGTTTTTCCCAACATTTTTCTCCCTGTAGTTTAGACTGAATAATTTCTACTGAGATTTCCTCAAGTTCACCAACTCTTCCCTCTTTCGTCTTCATCCTACCACTGATTCTTTGCAGTTTTATATTTCAGTTATTTTATTTTTCAGTTCTAAGGTTTCCTTTTGGTTCTTATTTATAGCTTCTATAGGGTTGCTTATACTCTCAGTTATAACTTCTGTTTCAGGATTTTTAATGATTGCTTATTCAAGTAGTTTTTAATAGTTGCTTAAAATCTTGTCCAGATAATTTCAACATTTGTGCCATCTTAGTGTTGGTATCTGTTAATTTTTTATACTCATGTGAATTGAGATTTTCATGGTTCTTTATAAGCTGAATAATTGTGGATCCCGTCATAATTGTTACATTATGATACCATGGGCCTGGTTTAAGGCCTATGGAGAATGTTAATATTTTTGTTTTAGTAGGAATTTGAATTGGTTAGGTTGAGGCTGCAAGTTCCAACCCACACTTTCTTTGGGCCATGGTTTCAAAGTCATTTCAATTTGGAAAGTCTTTGCAGTGCCTTATTTTTACTTAATTCTAATGATCCTAGTAACAACTCAATAAAGTAGGTTTTATGATACTTAACTTTACAGATAAAAAAGATAGGTTTGAATTCAGCCTAACACAAGCTATACGATATTGGACAAGACACTCTTTGAGCCTTAATTTCCTCATCTGCAAAATGAGTTTGATAATACCTACATCATTGGATTGTTTGAGGACTGAGTAAAATAATACATGTAGCATATTTAGCATACTTCAAACCCTAAAGAAATCATGGCTAGTCTTCTCATTTAAAAAAAATCAGTTTCACTGAGGAAAAATAATATATAATCAAATACAAACAATTTAAGTTACAGAAGATTAATTTTGACAGTTGTATATACTGTATAACCACCAATAAAAATATTATAGAACATTTCCACTCTAACGGAAAGTGCCCTCATGCCCCTCTGTAGTCAATTCTCTATCTGTCCTCAACCCCAAGCAACCACTGATTCAACTATCACAATAGATAAGTTTTGTCTGCTCTAGGGTTTTATATTAATAAAATCAGACAGTCTGCACATTTTCTGTCTGGCTGTTTTCACTTAGCATAATATACTTCAGATTCATCCATATTGGTTTGTTACTTTTTATTGCTAATATTCCATTATTTTACAGGGATATTTTTTACTATTGATTGAAAAAGTTCTTAGATGTTCTGAATTCAAGTCCTTTTTAAGATCATGTATTATGGCTATTTTCCCCAGTCTATAAATTGTCTTTTATTTTCTCAATGGCGTCTTTCAAAGAGCAGAAATTTTTAATTTTTACCAAGTTCAATGAATCATTCTTTTTCTTTTAAAGGTTTGTTTGATTGGGTGTTTTGTTTTGTTTTGTTTTGTTTTGTAACTGTTCTCAAAAAAATATTTTTTTTTCTTTGGCTTCTTCTAGAAGATTATAATTCTAGCTTTTATGTTTCAGTTTATGATCCATTCTGAATTAACATTTTTTGTGTATGCTAATAACGAAGGAGTTGAGGTTCAGTTTCTTTTCTCCATACTGATATCCAGTTGTTCCAGCTTATTGGGAAAAAAAGCCTATCCTATCTCATGGAAATACCTTGGTACCATTGTGAAAATCAATTGACCATATTATGTGTGGGTTTATTCCTAAATTCTATTGTTTCATTTATCTATGTGTCTGTAACAATACTCCATTTATTTCATTGCTTTAGCTTTATAATAAGACTTGAAGTAAGGTAGTATAAGTCCTCTAACTTTGTGGTTCTGTTACAGAATTGTTATTCTGGATCTTTTGTTTTTCCATATGAATTTTATTTTATTTTTTTATTTTTTATTTTTTTAAAAGATTTTATTTATTTGAGAGAGAGAGAGAATGAGAGAGAGCGAGTACATGAGAGGGGGGAGGGTTAGAGGAAAAAGCAGGCTCCTAGCTGAGCAGGGAGCCCAATGCGGGACTCGATCCAGGGACTCCAGGATCATGACCTGAGCCGAAGGCAGTCGCTTAACCAACTGAGCCACCCAGGCGCCCTCCATAAGAATTTTAGAATTAGCTTTAGGCCATAATCTATGAGAGAAGTGAAATTCATGGGGCCAGAATCACAACTTTCTAGGCTCTCTGTCTAGGGGCAATTGTTGGATTTGATTTCCTAAAAACATGTTAAGGACTTTCGTGTGTATGTTCAGTTTTATGTCTTTTAATGTCTTTGTCTGGTTTTGGAATCAAGGTAACATTGTTCTTATAAAAAAGGTTGAAAAGTATTCTTTCATATTTTATTTTCTCAAAGAGTTTGTGTAGAATTTATATAATTACTTAATTTCCAAATTTTTTACAAATATCTTTGTTATTAATTTCTAGTTTAATTCCCCTGTGCGCAGAGAAAATATTTTATATGATTTCAACTATTTTAAATTTGTTGAGGTTTGTTTCATGATAGTGAATATGTTCCATTTTCTTGAATATTCCATGTACATTTGAAAAGAAGGTATGTTCTAGTTATTGAGTGGAATTTTCTGTATCAATTAGGTCATATTGGTTGATAGGACTGTTAAGGTTTTCTATATCAATAGTTCCCAAATTTGCCTGCACTCTGTTGAAATCACCTTTGAATCTCCTTAATGCCTATATCCCAACCCTAGAGATTGTGATTTAATATGTATGGGGTGTAGCCTGTTCTTTAGAATTCTTAAGAGATTCCCAGGTGATGCTAATGTGTAAGCCAAGCTTGGAACCTGAGTTCTGTATCCTTACTAATTTTCTGTATATTGCTTTACAAATTACAGAGAGGGGAGAGATGAACTCTCCAAATGCATTGTGGGTTAGTTTCTTATTTCAGTTCTATCAGTTTTTGCTTCAGTGCTATTTTATAGCACTATTAGGATTTTGCATCTTCTTAAAGGAACTGACCCCGTTATCTTGTTTTAATATGAATTCCCCTGATTACTAGTGAAGGTGAGCATTTAAAAAAAGATCTTTCTGGTTATTCAGTTTTCCTCTTCTGTGAGTTGCTTATTTGGGTTATATGAATAAGTTTTTATATTAAATTGTTAGAATTCTTTATATTTTCAGAGCTTAACTATATTCTCCCAGTCTGTGGTTTGTTTTTCACTTGATTAAAATTATCTTCTCTTCTGTTTTGAAAACTTTTATCTCTTCTGTTTATAAAACAATCAAAATTTAATCTTTTTGATTAACGAATGGTACTGTTTTGTCTGGTTTAACAACTTCTTCCTTAAGGTGATGTCATAAAGACATCCGTTTTCTAAAAGTTTAGAGGGTTTTTTTCACATTTACTTCATTTGGAATTGAGTTTTATTTGTGGTGGAGGTCAGAATCTAATTTCATTTTTTATATGAATAGCCAATCTAACTAGAACCACCATCATTTGTCTTTTCTATAGCCAATTAACATAGTTATTATACCGGGGCACCTGGGTGGCTCAGTTGGCTAAGTGTCTGACTCTTGATTTCAACTCAGGTCATGATCTCCAGGTCATGGGATCAAGCGTCCCCACATAGGGCTTGGCACTGGGTGTGGAGCCTGCTTGGGCTTCTCTCTCTTACTTTCTGTATGCCCCTCCTCTCTCTCTTTCTCTCAAAAAAACCAAAAAAAACAAAAAACAAAACAACCACAGAAACAACAAAATTATTGTACCATTTACACTTTCAAGAGTCATGCATAGTTCTTTCCCACAACCTGCCCAACACTTATTTCTTATCAGACACTTTTAGTGTATACCAACTTCCAGGTACAGGTACTCTAATTTCTTTTTGTCTATTCTTGTGTCATCACCACATTTTAAAAAGTTGCTTTTAAAATAGAATTACCATATAATTCAGTAATTCCACTTCTGGATATATACCCAAAAGAATTGATGAGAGGGTCTCAAAGAGATATTTGCACACATCATGTTCATAGTAGCATTCACAATAACTAAAAGTTGGAAGCAACCCAAGTGTCCATCAGCAGATGAGTGAATAAACAAAATGTGGTATATACCTACAATGGAATGTTATTCAGCCTTAAAAAGGAAGGAAATTCTGACACATGCTACAATATGGATGAGCCTTCAGGATGTCATGCTAAGTGAAATAAGTCAGTCACAAAAAGATAAATACTGTAAGAGATTCCACGTACATGAGGTACCTAAAGTCGTCATATTCATAGAGACAGAAAGAATGGCAGTTGCCAGGTGCTGGGGGGAGAGATAAATGGGAAGTTGTTTTTTAATGGGTATACTTTCAGTTTTGCAAGATGAAAAGTGTTATGGAGATTGGTTGCACGACAATGTGAATATATTCAACACTACTGAACTGTACACTTTAAAATAGTTAAGATGATAAATTTTTTGCGTTATGTATATTTTACTCTATTTAAAACTAAAAAGAAAAAAAAGGTGCTCTAACAACAAAAAAAAAAGTTGCTTTTAATAGTTCTTAGTCTTTGGTGTTCTGCAGTTTCATCAGGATATATCCACATATGGAATTCTTTGTTTTAAACCTGCTCAAGAATAAGTGCTTCCTGAATCTGAGCACTCAAATATTCCACAATCCTGAAAAATTCTTAGTTATCATTCTTTGAATACTGCTCACAGCCATTCTCTCTAGTTTCTCTTTTTGACACTCCTATTGGATATACCCTGGGCCTTTCTTTCTTATTTTCCATTTATTTAGGTCCTGTGTTGCATTCTAGTACATTTTCTCAAATTATGTATCACAGTCCAGCCAAACGTATACTTCTCAAATACTGAATGGAAGATTTTTTATATATTCCTTAAAAAGATTAAGGCGGTATGTCAGCAAACTGAAGCAGAAGTGAAAAGTCAAGAAACAGACAGACACAGGCTCACCTCTACAACGCAGGAGAATGTGCCGAAGCCAAAACAATATAGTATTACTACCTTGTACTCAACAAATATTAAGCACAAGCAGGATGCCGCTTTGTGTCAAGCGCTAGATATCAATGAACGCTATCAAGCCAGATTACATTACATGCCAAAGCCTGGCCACAGCATTTCACACTGCATGTATGACCTTGAGCAAGGCATTTATTCTTAAGCTTCAGTTTTTTTCTGTGGGTTGCTGTGAGAATCAAAATGAGGTAAGGTGAGCGAAAGCTCTATATTAAGGTATTTTCTCAATTCTAAAATATTCTTAAATGGTCAAGTGCACTATAGATGTAATAATCGTTTGGAAAGGATGTGGAGATGAACAATCCACTAGGGGTGTACTTACGAACTTTCCGATTTGGGACGTTAAAAAATACGGAAAAGTCTGCTTTTAGAATTGAGGTACCTCGGTATTGTACTGGCTTTATCCATTATGTCCACAAATGCCCTTTTCTTAAATTTGAATGATTTCCCTCTCCCCCAGCGTTTGATTTTACCAACCTCCTTCCTGACAGCTGTCAAAATTTTCCATACTGGCTTTCTGATCCCAATTTTCTGGCTCCTGCTGAGACTGAAGAGCCGCTTTCTTTGGACTGGTTTTCTCACGCTTAACTTCGCTTCTGTACTGTCATTGGCTGTTGCTTTTACCAGACCCGCCCACAACAGCCTCAATCCTGATTGGATGCCAACGTCCTTTTTGTTAGGGCAAAAGGTGGATCCTCGGGCTTTGACAAAGGACGATTGGGGCGTCGTACTGCTAATGCGCAGGCGTACCTTCTTGAGTGGGGATTGGTGGGCGACGGGGCGGGACGGGGCGGGACGGGGCGGGACTCCCGACACGGCGCACGCTCTGTGGGCGCAGAGGGCGGGGCTGCCGGTACCAGTTGGTCCAAGTGTTGGGGCCTGAGGCGTCTTCCCGATCCCTCCTACTCCCAGAGCCTTCAACGGCAGGTGAGGGCAGTCGTGGGCAGCGGAGGGCCTGGCCCCGGGCGACTGGAGTTGCGACCTCGGTACAGCCGAGGAACTGGAGGGCGGGGAGGGCTGGACGCGGCCCGGGGCACCAGGCGCCCGGGAAGAGCGGCCTGGGCATTTGGTGGGCGCCTCAGGCCTGACTCCGTGAAGAACCTCTGCGCAACCTCCTCATCTCATTATTGGGCCCAGTTGTTCTTTGGGGGAGGGGTTGCTCCCGTCCCTGAGGCGGACCTCCCGCCGCCTTCTCCCGCCTCTTAGTCGAAGGCCGCTGTCCAGCCTCCCGCTCTGAATTGGGACTGCAGAGGGGCGTTTGGGCGGGATGGACCTGGCACGCCTGCACTTGTCCGTGGTTGCTCTGCCGAGAGCCCGGGAGGTGGGAGGAGAGGACGCCAAGGCGGGGAGGGTGGCGAGCGAGCGGTAAAATAAGGGCTGGCGACAGCTTTCCTGGCACCGAAAGGAGCTCCCGGGTTAGTTTCTACTTGGGCTTCCCTCAAGGATCCTGCCGAGCAAGTTTTGGGGAGTTAGGACCGAAAAGGAGAAAGAAGGTGCCTTTCGAAAGGCAGGACTTTTGTTATACAATATATCGATTCCACTACTATGACGTAGCAATGTTAAGGACCTGCTGTGCTATGTCCCCAGCACTGTATGTCTGTGCCTGAGGATCCTAAGCTATGCCTATATATTCTGTGCCTGTACTCACTGATTAAATTCACTGTAGCTAGCCATTCTCTGGGGATCTAGCTTCCGTTCCAGTCCTCATTTGGCCAATCCCTTAATCTTGTGGAATCTTGAAACTGGATTTGTCTGACCAGAACAATTCAAAACTTGAACAGACAAACCATTTTGAAAGTTGATGCAGCTTGAATGGAATGAAATTTATCTTCAGTTGCTTCGTAAAATATCAAAGGAATGTAACATCAAAGATTGCAAAATATTTGGCAAATATAGATTAGGGCTGTATTTCCATTATACAATGGAAAAAACAGGGACTTTATAGTTAGACCTGCTTTCAACATCTTGGTACAAACGTTGGCTGTGAAGTCTAAGGCAGATACAGAGCCTTTCTGAGGTATAGTACCCACAAATATAAATCACAATGCCCTTCTGTTGATTGGATGAACTAATAATATATGTAAAGCATTTAGTATATTAATGAGCAATGACATTATTTTAGTAGTCTTACTTGTTCACTAGTAAGCGGATGACATGAAAATCAGTTTTAGATGCTGAGAAGTTGGGTGGTTGAAGTTGGATGGATATCAGGAAAAAGTCTCAAAATCTTAGGTCTCAGAGCATACCTGTGGTGGTGTGATGGAAAAAACTAGCCTAGTAGTGATTTTGGGTAAGCTGTTATTATCTTTGGCCTCGGTTTATTTGTAAAATGAGGCAGCTAGACCAGATGATTTTACCAAAATTTCTTTTTGTGGCCTGAATTAGAGCCAAAAGGTAGAGGAGATAATAGCTAACATTATTGAATACCTTCTATGTATGAGATACCATTGCAAGTTATATATATCAACTCGTTCTTACAACAAAAATATGAGGTACATACTCTTACCCTCGTTTAACAGATGAGGAAACTGAGGCTGAGATGTTAACCTTGCTCAAGTTTCCAGAACTTATAAGTAGCAGAGCTAGGATTTAAGTCCAGGTAATATAAATTTATGTCCTTTATCACTGCACTAAACTGCTTCTTAACAGTGGTACTGTTCAGGGTACTATAAGAGAAGGTAGAGGTCTCCTTTGGTAAAACAGTAGTCTTTGATCACAGGTATGTGGGCATGGAAAAATGGGTCCATCCTAATGATTGTCACACTTTCTGACTCTTGTTCTCTCCGTACTTTTTGCTTCCTGGACTTAAATTACCAAAATAATTCTAGATTCTCTTCTACCAACCAAGGCTAGATGAAAATAGGCCCAGAACGTACTGTGATTTTTGATAAAAGCTTTTCAGATTCAACCCAGGCTTAGGTCAGAGGTGACAGATCTGGGAGAACCATATCCATTTCGGAATGAAGGCAGCTTTAGGATAAACAGATCAGCCTTAGAACCCCACTCTCCTTTCATTGTCCTCATGCTTGAGATACTTTGGTCTGGATTTTCTTTTCACATCGGCTTTGCATTTTTGTACAGGAACAGAAGGAATTGAAAATGAACTCTTTTTTCTCTTTCTTTTCTTTTCTTTTCTTTCTTTCTTTTTTTTTTAAATTTTTTATTAAGTTGGCTCCACGCCCAGTGTGGAGCCCAATGCGGGGTTTGAAATCAGGACCCTGAGATCAAGAGTAGGATGCTTAACCAACTGAGCCATCCAGGCACCCCAAAAATGAACTCTTAAAAGCACATTTCACATGAAATTGGATTGATGTGATAGCAACTATAGACTGAGAAAAAGACTGAGTTTTATAGTTGAAAAACTCAGTCTGGTATTAAGTGCATATTATGACATAGTACCTGTGCCTATGTAGACATTGTGAGGTTTGAGGATTGATCCTATTTTGAAAGAAAATCTGTGGCTAAAATACTTTGATATAAAGAGCTCAGTAAGGGGCGCCTGGGTGGCTCAGCCATTGTCTGCCTTCGGCTCAGGTCATGATCCCAGGGTCTTGGGATCGAGCCCCGCGTCGGGCTCCCTGCTCGGCGGGAAGCCTGCTTCTCCCTCTCCCACTCCCTCTGCTTGTGTTCCCTCTCTGTCAAATAAATAAAATATTAAAAAAAAAAAAACTCAGTGAACCTTCTGATCTTATATATATATAATAAATCAGCTTATTGCTCTAAATTTACTGGAAGACCTTGAATATATACAAGAATAGCATTTTGAGGCTAGCCTGTTTAATCACATCAGAATACGAGAAAATTGCTGTTTGTCTTTCTTACCGCGCAGAGGTAGCTGGCAGTGCTCTTGTCTGCTTCACTAAAGAGTCATGAATACCCTTTTGCACAGGGCTGCCACAGAGAGTTGGCAGATTTTGCACTGTACAATCCTCGAGGTGCAATCTTACACAGACTATGATGTGAATAGTGTTCTCTTGGGTTGTGTTGTATATCGCATAGCACTGTCCTTGTGCCCACTGGGCTTTTGTGCTCTTGCCTCCACCCCAGTCTTCAATGTGTGTTTCTAAGCTTCATTTTCCCTCTAATAAGCCTCCTCCACCCCATTTTTCTGCCTTTTTTTCTTTCATTTTTTTTCAGATGAAGTCAAACTGTTGATAACCATACAAAGATTTTCTATCGTTTGGGTTCCTTGTGGCCAAAATTTCAGAAACTGGCTTCATTATTACATTGATCAATTTGGAACACTTTACTTTTGTAGAAGAATTTTTGGTTTAATTTTAGTGTTAGACTGAAACATAGGCAAAAGAAGTATTCCACATCCCTATACTAAACCTAGTTTCAAAGTCAGTTGCATTGATTGCATGATTACATGTTGCTTTGCTTGTGTATTTTATAACTCTTCTCAGCTGTCATGAAAATTTTGTTCTGTATTCTTAAAAACACTAAATATTAGGATTTTGAAGCACTTTTGTATATTATTTAGCAGGGGAAATAGCCAAGCTGCAGGCTACTGTTGCTGAGTACTCCCAGGATCACTTTTGCTTTTGGCTGTTGCCTATGTCATCCATCCCAGACCTGTGTTAGCCAGGTCAGTAGCTGAAATGGTAGGAAAAGTGCTCTTCGCTATGTCAAGTGCCAAATAAAGTTTTCACTGCTAACACACCACCTCTTCAGTTATAAAGCAATATGTTGTCGACTGAATGGAGAAGGATAATTTTTGAAGTTGAATAATATAAAGAATTTTTGAAGAGATTTTTAGTAATCAGTCTACTTGGATTCATGTAGATGTACTAATATGTATTACATATTAATATATGTTTATATATTACATATAGTATATAATATATATGTAACTATATATTACATCTTTTTCACATGGTTTTACTTCTCAGGTTCTTTGTACTTCAGAAAAAGTTTATATGCATATTACATATTATGTACGTGATATATTACATATGTATAATGCAGATGTAACATGTATATAGTATGTACATATTATATCCCATATATATGTGTGAACTTTCTCAGAAGTACAAAGAACCTGAGAATTAAAGCCATATGAAAACAATTTGAGGGAAAGTAGCTCTAATGCTAGATAAGTAGATAGATGCTAGAAGACTCAGAGTAGATAATTATTAAACATTAGGTCAGTTTTATACCATTTGTAGCTAGCTAATTCTTTAATAATGCTATGTAAAGGATGTTTACATAGACAAGTGATCTCTTATTTCAGAGGTAGTTTATACATACACTGAGCATTTTATTTTCACGTTCATGCTAGTATCTGAAGTGTCACAATTTTATTAACTGAAACTGTGAGGGAATATTCAATACACTGATAACTCTTATGATTCTAGTTCTAGAATGTAGACATCCTTGTTCAGTAGGTCGGGGTTCTACTATTTAGCATATAGAGGCATAAGAATGCTTTGGTATAAAAGGTGCTCTATAAATAATTTGTTGAAAGAGTAACAATATTGACAGGTCTAAATTGCTTCAGTGAGTAGATTAGATTGCTTACCAGATCTGTTTCCAGTAATAATCTGGCTTATTTAAAAATCTTGAGCACACTGAATATGAAATGAATGTTAGCTATAGAGCAGAACATGTTTCACAGGAATTTTATGTTTTAATATTTTGGAAATTTTTAGAGAGAACAC